ATTGGGTAATTAATTTAATTCTGCAGGAATACAGATGCTTGGCACCTACAAGTGCTCCTTAATTGCCCATAAAAAAGCCTTCCCCCCATGTACATATGGTTTGCTCTTAAAAAAACAAGGGGAAATAATGGTTGGTCCACTTGGCTGGAGAACGGCATTTTGCTGAAAGGAGTGCTGTGACAATTTAGTCAAACCTGTTAAATACATCTAACCATAACCAGGTTATATATATATACATAATATAATAAAGACGGCTAATTAATTTAATGACACTGAGTTTTCAACAGCTCATTTCCCACCTTTGAATTTCCCTCCTCCTATTAATCTTATCTCCGGCCAGATCTCAAATATGTGGACTAACAGGCAACCGCTCGATATTTCTCTCGAATTCCAGAAGGGAGAAGGAATTAGCTCGTTGGTTTGCTACAGCTAAAAGACTCCAGCAGAGCTTTCCAAAGTGTGTCACGACACGTTAGTGTGTTGGCTGCAGTGTGTAGGTGTGTTGCGCGAACGTTCCTTGCGCTCCTTCCGAGGCTGGAAAGGGGTTAGTTTAACCTCTGGTCTGCTAGTAAAACTGAATTACTGGGTCACGAAATGACGCGTGTCTAAAAAGTGTGTCACCAACATGAAATGTTTGTAAAGCTCTGGACTACAGACTCTGCTAATATGAGGTTTGTTGTTGTTGTTGTTTAGTCGTTTAGCCGTATCCGACTCTTTGTGACCCCATGGGCCAGAGCACACCAGGCACTCCTGTCTTCCACTGCCTCCCGCAGTTTGGTCAAACTCATGTTAGTAGCTTTGAGAACACTGTCCAACCATCTCGTCCTCAGTCGTCCCCTTCTGCTTGTGCCCTCCATCTTTCCCAACATCAGGGTCTTTTCCAGGGAGTCTTCTCTTCTCATGAGGTGGCCAAAGTATTGGAGCCTCAGCTTCAGGATCTGTCCTTCCAGTGAGCACTCAGGGCTGATTTCCTTCAGAATGGATAGGTTTGATCTTATTGCAGTCCATGCGACTCTCAAGAGTCTCCTCCAGCACCATAATTTAAAAGTATCAATTCTTCGGCGATCAGCCTTCTTTATGGTCCAGCTCTCACTTCCATACATCACTGCTGGGAAAACCATATCTTTAACTGTACGGATCTTTGTCGGCAAGGTGATGTCTCTGCTTTTTCAGATGCTGTTTAGGTTTGTCATTGCTTTTCTCCCAAGAAGCAGGCGTCTTTTAATTTCGTGACTGCTGTCACCATCTGCAGTGATCATGGAGCAATATGAGGCTAAAGGTAAAGGGACCCCTGACCATTAGCTCCAGTCGTGGCCGACTCTGGGGTTGAGGCGCTCATCTTGCTTTATTGGCCGAGGGAGCCGGTGTACAGCTTCCGGGTCATGTGGCCAGCATGACTAAACCACTTCTGGCGAACCAGAGCAGCACATGGAAATGCCGTTTACCTTCCTGCCGGAGCGGTACCTATTTATCTACTTGCACTTTGACGTGCTTTCGAACTGCTAGGTTGGCAGGAGCAGGGACCGAGCAGCGGGAGCTCACCCTGTTGCGGGGATTCGAACCGCTGACCTTCCAATCGGAAGCCCTAGGCTCTGTGGTTTAGACCACAGCGCCACCCACGTGCCTTAATATGAGGTTAGAGATGGGCAAACCTATGATTTGCACTTGCCCTCCTTTTCCCAATGTGAAGTTCAGTTCTTCATATTTACATGTCGATTTATGATGTAGAGTCAACACGCATCACAGCTTGGCGGCCGGTCAGCTGACATCTCACAAATTACCTCTTCAGCTTCTGACAGACTTCTCTCTTCTCTCCCTCTAACCACTCATCATTGTCCCACCACCAATCCCCTGGCTCTGAGCATTCTTCCCTTGGTGGTTCTCTAGCTGGTTCCTCCCATCATTTCTCTGCGTTCAACCAGTCCAAGACATCAGTTTTCATTAAACTTTATCTTCACTGATTAATTTAACGCTGCCATTCCTGGACCTTCTTACCTGGAAATAAGTTCCATTGAACTTGATAGGGCTTAGTTCTGAATAAGGTAAAGGGACCCCTGACCATTAGGTCCAGTTGTGACTGACTCTGGGGTTGCGGCGCTCATCTCGCTTTATTGGCCGAGGGAGCCAGCGTACAGCTTCCGGGTCATGTGGCCAGCATGACTAAGCTGCTTCTAGTGAACCAGAGCAGTGCACGAAAATGCCATTTACCTTCCCGCCGGAGTGGTACCTATTTATCTACTTGCACTTCATGCTTTCGAACTGCTAGGTTGGCAGGAGCAGGGACCGAGCAACGGGAGCTCACCCCATCACGGGGATTCGAACTGCCGACCTTCTGATCAGCAAGTCCTAGGCTCTGTGGTTTAACCCACAGCGCCACCCGCGTTCCTTAGTTCTGAATAGACATGTAGAAAATGGACCTGTTGGTTAGCCCACCAATAAATGGATTAAAGTCTGCAACCCCAATTTGAACACAGGGCATTTGTCATCCAAAACACCAGGGACTTTTGGATCACTTGGGGACTGAACCATTCCTGCTGTGGTGCCACTAGCATTTTCAAAAAGAAAAAGAAAGAAAGAAAGAAAGAAAGAAAGAAAGAAAGAAAGAAAGAAAGAAAATATATGAAGAACTAAAATTCCATCCCTGAAAAATAATTTCTTTGAGAGCTACTGTGCTGCACTGAGAGGTGAGTGGAGTCGTTCAAGATATATTAAACACACGTTCCAGTTAATTTATGTGGCCTGGCGGTGCAGAAACGAATAAAACTGGCTCATACTTCCACTCACACATGATTAATGAGGGAGCACTCCATCATACATTTCAGACCGTGCCCAAGTGTGGGACAAAAATATACAGATTATGGGAGAAATTGGGAATTAACAAAACATCTGTTAACCCGAGCTAGACGCATACTTTGCACCACAGCCGTGTCATAAATCAGAACACGTAACAGCTCCGTTTTGCTTTTCTGGGACTGGAGTTGTTTTGACGACTCAGTCTAAAGGTTCTCTTAAGAACCATATCAGCCTAACTAGTGCTTTTTCTTGTTGTTATTTAAATCTACTGTGGGAAGGAAGCAGAACTCGAACCCGGGACAAAAGAGGCAGCGTTCAGATCTGTATCTGACACCCTGCCTCACAGAGTTGTCCTGCCCACCTCACAGGGTTGTTGTGGCGAGTAAATGAGGAGGGGGAGAGCCGGATTTAGAAGGCGATGGGGCCGGATCCAGCCCCTGGGCCTTAGTTTGCCTACCCATGATCTAATGACTCTCTGAGGGGCCAAAACAGGGCCCGTTCCGCAGGATGGAAGGAGTTCAGATCATTGTTCAACTGGTCACCTGCTCCCCACAAAACAAAAGAAGGTGCTTCGCTGCTAAAAAATAAAAAATCAGATGCCCAGCATCTGATGTCATTTCCTGCTGAGCGGTCATAGAGCAAGATAACAGGAAGAGGTCCTACTGTCGTTTCCTGGAGAGCTGAGTCCATTTCCCATAACCCGGGAGGCCGCATAATATAGAGAAGTGATCCTGAAAACCTTTGGAGGCATCCGGCTTCCCAGCACGGATTTCCAGCACCAACCGCTTTGACTGACACCTGGCTTATATGCAGGAAGGAGGCATACATGACAAGAGCGAACTATGCATGCTCGGAGAGCTGTTGAGGAGGCGAGGGCGCCGCCTGAAAAAATAAACAAGGCGCATATTCGTTTCCCATGAAGCCAGTGATCTGGATGCTCATGACTGAGCCCTTCAGGCAGGAGCTAGGCTAGCCAGGATGGAGGGCTTTTGTTGCTTATTGCTATCCAGTGACTTGGACAGTCACTTTAGCCCCTGGGCTAAAACAGTAAATAAGGAGCTTCAGCGCATATGCAAGGTGGAAGACTCTGCAGTGGTACCTCGGTTAATAATAATAATAATAATAATAATGATAATAAATTTTATTTATACCCCGCCCTCCCCAGCCAAGACCAGGCTCAGGGCAGCTAACACCAGGTATAAAACAATTGATTAAAATACAACTTAAAAACAAGATTAAAATACAACATTAAAATGCAGCCTCATTTCAGTAGAAACTCAAATTTTGGGGGGATGAAAACGTCAAATCTTCACCAAGGCCAACTATCCAGACTGGTCCTATGTGGGCTAGAAAAAAAGCCAAGGAAGTCCACAAATAGGGGTTCCATCATAGAAGGAGAAAGGAAAAAGGATAGTGGGGAAGGGGATCAAGTCGATTCCAAGCCAAAGGCCAGGCGGAACAACTCTGTCTTACAGGCCCTGCGGAAAGAAATCAGATTCTGCAGGGCCCTGGTCTCATGAGGCAGAGAGTTCCACCAGGCCGGAGCCAGTGTTGAAAAGGCCCTGGCCCTGGTTGAGGCTAATCTGACTTCCTTAGGGCCCGGGATCTCTAAGGTGTTGCTATTTATGGACCTTAAGGTTCTCCGTGGGGCATACTGGGAGAGGCAGTCCCGTAGGTACGAGGCGTCAGCCCAGTATACCTGAAGGAGCATCTCCACTCCCATCGTTCAACCAGGACATTGAGATCCTGCGCCGAGGGCCTTCTAGCGGTTCCCTCACTGCGAGATATGAGGTTACAGGGAACCAGGCAGAGGGGCTTCTCAGTAGTGGCATCTGCCCTGTGGAACGCCCTCCCATCAGATGTCAATGAAATAAACAACTATCTGACTTTTAGAAGACATCTGAAGGCAGCCCTGTTTAGGGAAGTTTTAAATGTTTGATGTTTTATCGTGTTTTTAATATTATGTTGGGAGCCGCCTAGAGTGGCTGGGGAAACCCAGCCAGATGGGCGGGGTATAAATTTATTACTACAGAACAGTGGCGTAGTGTGGGGGGTGCAGGGGGGGCCGGCCGCACCGGCCGCAACATCTGGGGGTTAGGGTTAGGGGGCGCAAATCCACGGGTAAGGGGGTGCAAATCCACGGGTTAGGGGGCGCAAATTACTTGCCTTGCCCCGGGTGCTGACAACCCACGCTACGCCACTGCTACAGAAGAAGAAGAAGAAGAAGAAGAAGAAGAAGAAGAAGAAGAAGAAGAAGAAGAAGAAGAAGAGGAGGAGGAGGAGGAGGAGGAGGAGGAGGAGGAGTTTGGATTTGATATCCTTCTTTATCACTATCCTTCTTTATCACTATCCTAAGGAGTCTCAAAGCGGCTAACATTCTCCTTTCCCTTCCTCCCCCACAACAAACATTCTGTGAGGTGTGTGGGGCTGAGAGACTTCAGAGAAGTGTGACTGGCCCAAGGTCACCCAGCAGCTGCATGTGGAGGAGCGGAGATGCGAACCCGGTTCACCAGATTACGAGACTACAACTCTTAACCACTACACCACACTGGCTCACAGGAAAAGTCTTTCTGGGGTAGATGGTGCACTCTCCAGAGCTGGCGCCAGTACAGTCATACCTTGGGTTACAGATGCTTCAGGTTGTGTGTTTTTTGGGTTATGGACATGCCAAAACCCAGAAGTATTGGAATGGGTTACTTCCGGGTTTCGATGGTTGCTCATATGCAGAAGTGCTAAACTGCGCTTTGCGCATGCACAGAAGCGCCAAATTGCAACCCGTCTGTGCGCAGACACTCCACTGTGGGTTGCGAACGCTGCGGGTTGCGAACGTGCATCCCGCACGAATCACGTTCGCAACCTGAGAGTCCACTGTAGTTGGTATCACTGGGCACCTGCCAAGTCCCATACCAATTTAAGGGCCAACAGCTGGATCCTCTTGCCCTGCTCAGCCTCCTCCTTGCTGTCACTGACAGCCCATTCCAAGCAAGCAACAACAACCGTGAGGAGGGCTGTAGCTCAGAGGTAGAGCACATGGATTGCATGCACAAGGTCCCAGGTTCAATCCCCGGCATCTCCAGGTGGGTTGTTACTGTTGTTGTTGATGTTGTGATTTATAGAATACCCTTTGTCAAAAGATCCCAGGACAGTGTACAACATTAAGAACACGTTTTACGGAGCATCAATAATAAAAACATAATCAAAAGCATACTAACAGACAGCATAATAATAAAATAATCATAATAACAGTTCCCCTGGCCCCCACCTTTAACTGGCCATAGATTATTTAATGGCTAAACGCCTGGGAAAAGAGGGGTGTTTTTGCCTGGCACCTAAAGACATGTAATGATGGTGCCAGTCAAATGCATTCCACATACAGGGAGCCACCACAGAAAAGGCCCATTCTCATGTTGGTACATCTTTTAAATGTTTCTGAGCTAGATGGACCAGTGGTCTGACTCAATATAAAGCAGCTTCCTATGTCCTTATTTTTTGAATTATGGTGCTGGAGGAGACTCTTGAGAGTCCCATGGACTGCAAGAAGATCAAACCTATCCATTCTGAAGGAAATCAACCCTGAGTGCTCACTGGAAGGACAGATCCTGAAGCTGAGGCTCCAATACTTTGGCCACCTCACGAGAAGAGAAGACTCCCTGGAAAAGACCCTGATGTTGGGAAAGATGGAGGGCACAAGGAGAAGGGGATGACACAGGACGAGATGGTTGGACAGTGTTCTTAAAGCTACCAACTTGATTTTGACCAAACTGCAGGACGCAGTGGTGTGCTCTGGTCCAGGGGGTCACGAAGAGTCGGACACAACTAAACAACTAAACAACAACAAATGTCCTTATTAGCAAAGGGTCATTGTTCAGGGGAAGAGCACTTCCTCTGCATGCAGAAGGTCTCAGGTTTAATCCTCAGCATCTTCAGGTAGAACCAGGAATGTCCCCTGCCTGAAACCACAGAGAGCTATTGCCCATCAGTGCAGACAACACTGAGATAGATGGACCAGTGGCTTGACTCAGTATAAAGCCTGTGGCTGCAGGTGAAGCAGTGGCTGGTGGGCAGCCAGACTGGGGTGGTATGCAGATGTGCCACCCCTCCTGTTCTGCTGCCTGAGGCCAAGGTCTCCGCGTGGCTAATGGGTGGGCCGGCCTGGACTTTTCACGCATGAAGGCTCTGGCGCGATCACTTTCAAATGTGTGTGAGAGCCCAGAAGGTTACAACAGAAGCAGTCCTAATCCCAGCTGTTAAACCTCTCCCAAACTTGCATTATATCCAGATATCTAGTAGCCAGTTCTGTACAAATCAGGAGGTCTTTCCTTCTCTCTGTCTGCCTCCCTCGAAAGGAGAAATCCCAGCGTTTCTGATAGATGACAACGGTTTAGGCCCCCGGAGAGCTCAGTTTCGCCCACGTTTGAGTCGTGAAATTGGCCGCAGGTTGGGAATCTGATACACATCAATGTGATTTCATGGTGAGACAGTCTAATGGAAGATAAAAGGAGCATAGGTTAATGCTGTTAGGTTAAGGCCTTTCCTGCTATCCAAGACACAGGAACATTTTAAGGATAATCCAAGACCTACATGTTGGGAAAATGTGGAGCTGTTTTTCCAAGCCCCAGAAAAACCTGGTAGCTTTTGCTCTCAACACACAAGCTACGAGGTGTACGGGGCCTTTCTGTACTTACAGTTTGTAGTGGTAAAATTGGTGTTTTAACCAACATTTTTAAGAGCAAATCTGGAGCTAATGGTCTGCACCTTCGGTCCCATGTTGCTGTTACCAGAGGGTACAGATTTTCCTTCTATAGCAATGGCCGATTACACCAGAACTGAGGAAAGTTCTGTGGCCACAGTCACATTCTTTATGTATATAAAGTACACATGATTTCAGGAATTGTGTGAGTGGTTAGATAGCAAAAATAAGTAGCTGGTCTGGGGTCTTTATCTGAACTGGGACCCTGGTAAGGGATGTGGGGGCTATAACCCTGTGCCCCCACTCCAGTCCTGCTCTAGATTGGGTTGCTGCAACCTGCCCTTTGCATCAGAAAGGAAACTTTTCTGGCATAATAAAACATCGTAACACAGAGAGACTCACACAGACAGTGGAATGTGAATGGTTTAGAGCCCAGCCACTAAAAATCATGAAGCTAAAAAGTCTAAAGTTTTTTTTTATAAAAAAACAACAACTCGCATGTATGAAACAAACTTAAAGATAAACTAGAAATCACTCAAAGTTCTACCCCAAAGTGAACTTAATTTATGTTCACTCCCCCTGGCAATGATGGGAGTGGCTTTCAGGTTTAGTGCAGAGATTTTCGAATTGGTTTGGTGAATTTCCTTAAACTGAACTAGTTTGTCTCAAGCCCTGCTTCGAATGAATGCTGCGCTCGGACTTCAGCCCTGTGCAGTGGATGAAGATCTCAGACCCTCCAAATGTCCCTGTTTTCCAGGGACAGTCCTGGATTTACAGAAGCCAGCCCCAGTCTCTGATTTCATCCCAGAATGTCCCGCTTTTCCTTAGGATGTACCTATAAATGTTGGAGGATATGGAGTAATGCAACCCCCAAGACAAGGAGTTAAGAACTTAATTCGTTCTGGAGGTCTGTTCTTAACCTGAAACTGTTCTTAACCTGAAGCACCACTTTAGCTAATGGGGCCTCCTGCTGCCGCCACGCCGCCAGAGCACGATTTCTGTTCTCATCCTGAGGTAAAGTTCTTAACCGAGGTACTACTTCCGGGTTAGCGGAGTCTGTAACCTGAAGCGTCTGTAACCTGAAGCATATGTAACCCGAGGTACCACTGTACTGTCCTCCTGCTCCTGGGAATATTCAGGATCAGGATCAGGTTGGAGGGAATGGCACCCACCATTCTTCCTCAGTGCACCCCTCCTGAAGCAAAGTTCTTAACCCAAGGTACTATTTCTGGGTTAGCGGAGTCTGTAACCTGAAGCGTCTGTAACCCGAGGTACCACTGTACAACCTTTAGAAGACAGTTAGCCCTGTATAGTTTCATTATGTTTTATATATGTTAGAAGCAGCCCAGAGTGGGCTGGGATATTAATAATAATAATAATAATAATAATAATAATGGAATAGGACATCCCTATTTTCATCCAAGAAACAGGATATGGAATCTCGAGGCCTTTGAGAGCCACAGCTAGCTCTCCGTTTCTCTCTTTCTCCCTGCCCCCCAGCCTGCTGAATAAAATAAGTTCCATAATGCAAGGAAAATCCATCCTAAGCTGTTCGTGCTTGGTGGTTCTTTGGGGCCCGGCTGCAGCTGTCTCCATTTAATACTCCCTGCCTGGAATCCTTGTGTGCACAGCTGGCTGGATAGCACCACCTGCATGCCACTGACAGCCCTCCTCTCTTAGAAGTCCGTGGAGAGGCTGTTGCCACTGCCGTCGACATCTTCCTTATTGGCAAGCCCCCCCCCCCAGCCCCCCGAAAGAAGGGGTAGATAGGAGTGCAGGAAATTCAGCAGCAGCCAGGCTGAAATCACTATGAGAAGAACCCAGGTGAATTTGAGTGCAGTTGCCATCAGAACATTTCCCCAACGAAAATCAGGGCGTCCTATTCCATCGTGATAATTTTACTATGTATACACCACACATCTTATTAGGTTGCCCCAGCACTGTGGGCAGCTTCCAGTATATATAAAGGTAAAGGGACCCCTGACCATTAGGTCCAGTCGCGACCGACTCTGGGGTTGCGGCGCTCATCTCGCTTTATTGGCCGAGGGAGCCGGCGTACAGCTTCCGGGTCATGTGGCCAGCATGACTAAGCCGCTTCTGGCGAACCAGAGCAGCGCACGGAAACGCCATTTACCTTCCCTCCGGAGCGGTCCCTATTTATCTACTTTCACTTTGACATGCTTTCGAACTGCTAGGTGGGCAGGAGCAGGGACCAAGCAACAGGAGCTCACCCCGTCACGGGGATTCGAACCGCCGACCTTCTGATTGGCAAGTCCTAGGCTTTGTGGTTTAACCCACAGGGCCACCCGTGTCCCCTCCAGTATAAATAGAAACATAATAAAACATTAAACATTTTTTACAAAACTTCCCTATACAGGACTGCCTTCAGACAGCTCAGGAGTTGGATAACTCCATACCCTCCAACATTTATCCAATGAAAATAGGGACATCCTAAGGAAAAGCGAGAGATTCCGGGATCAAATCTGAGAGCCAGTGTGGTGTAGTGGTTAAGAGCGGTAGTCTCGTAATCTGGGGAACCGGGTTCGCGTCTCCGCTCCTCCACATGCAGCTGCTGGGTGACCTTGGGCCAGTCACACTTCTTTGAAGTCTCTCAGCCCCACTCACCTCACAGAGTGTTTGTTGTGGGGGAGGAAGGGAAAGGAGAATGTTAGCCACTTTGAGGCTCCTTAAAGGGAGTGAAAGGTGGGATATCAAATCCAAACTCTTCTTCTTCTTCTTCTTCTTCAAATCAGAAACTGGGACGGCTTCTCTAAATCAGGGACATCCCTGGAAAATAGGGAGACTTGGAGGGTCTGTGAGAGGGGAAAGGAGCTCAATGTCTCAGTGCCCAGTGTTTTTATCACCAGAGATGCTTCCAAGACTTGCAGGCCTAGGCACAGTGTACCTTTCCCTATGGAGAAAGATTGATGCATTGACTGGATAACAGATTGACACAAAAACTTTAAGGGATTAAAAATTGGCCGCAGATTTATTGATTACAGATGTAGGTAGGCTTTGGCTCAGGCACCGGGCGTGTATCCTGAATTAGCCTTCGGGCTGAAGGCGGAAATTTAATCAGGGTCGTGACTGAGTTAAGGACCATCTCAAGACACAGGTCAACGGAGCTGGCCCTCCCCAGGCTGCTACTGGATGTTCTATGGCCTGTCTGCCCTCCACATGCCTCCAGGACAGAAACCTCCACCCAGACCCCTTTTCCAGGGTACCTTGTGATATCACACCTGCATGAGGTAGGATGATGCACCAAATCACCCCCACACCTGTAAATAGGCTAAGGATTCCAACCAATCCCTTATCCGTTGCAAGTTGCAATGACTGCTATGAGGAAGGTAAAACCTACAAACGGGTCCAATTTGTTTGAAGGCAAATTCCTTCCCCGCCCCGAATATGGTGACCCTTTAGAACAGGGGTCAGCAAGGTTTATCTTGCCTGGGCTGGATCGGTCCCGCGGAGATCCCTCCATGGACTGGATTGCATGCGTGTGTGCACAATTTTTGTCGTCTGCTCGTGCACAAATGCAATTTTCATCATCTGCGTCTGCGCAGATGCAATTTTCGGTGCCGCGGAAGTGAGTCCACACGCTGTGCTGGGTCAGTTTAGCGCTGTGCGCGAGCGGGCAGCTCAATTCATGGGCGGCTTGTGGGCCGGTCAAATGACCTCCACAGGCTGCTTCCGGCCCATGGGCCTTAGGTTGCTGACCCCTGCTTTAGAACTACAGCAAAGTCTATCGAACCAAGAGAACACTCATATAATGTGAGTGGGAGGGTTGCTCTTACACCAATTGTGCTGGTTAAACTGAGTGCCTGTTGACTTTAAATATTCACACGGGAGACTGGAGTGAAAACTTCTTCGCTCTGGTCTGCCACTGTAACCCCACCCACCATAAAGGCCATGATTGTATAAAGTATCATGGATTGCAATGTTTTTGTTAAACTTAAATAAACTAATAACTGATTTCTTTTAAAAGAAATTAATATTTTCACCATAAGGAAAGTGATGGTGAAATGTACTGAAAAAAAAGAATGAGCAATAAACAGGAAGACCATGACTAACTGAAATTTCTCCTACTATACAAGAGTATACGCAATTTCTCCTAATACACATTCACTTGCTTAATATATTTAGTATATTATTTAGTACAGTGGTACCTTGGGTTAAGTACTTACCGTATTTTTTGCCCCATAGGGTGCACCGGCCCATAGGGCGCACCTAGTTTTTTGGGGGGGAAATAAAGAAAAAAATTTATTTCCCCCCCAGGCGCGAGGCTGGGGCCGGGGGAAGCCCGAGCTTCCCTTGACCCCAGCCCCCAGAACAGGCTGCTATCCGCAAGCCTAGGGAGCCTGGCGGGAAGTCACGTCGGTCTCCCCAGGCTTGCGGATATCTGCCCGAAGCCCGGGGCGCGCTGAGTAGCCACTGTATATTATTTTCACTAACACAAGCATTTTATGGACATTGTACCCCAGTACATGCAAAAAATATATAAAAAATTGCACACATTACTTAGCTGGTGAACGACACTGCAAAATTTGGAGAAATGCAAATTTTGACGGATAGCTGTTACTCATTGTATCAGAAAGTGTAAACTAGGTAGGTTCACCTGTAAATGCAAACTGAATCCAATTTCTTCCCTGCCCCTAGTCCATATTAATGATTACTCGGGTTTATCTGATATTACTGGATGGATCAAGTTTTTATGCCAACCAATGTCCAGTTCCTTGCAGTTGCTTGGTATCTACATTATCCCACTGCAAATTCCACTTTGCCCACTATACACAGCTCAAAACTGAAAACCATGTTTTAAAGAGACCGAAGAAGACTGGGTTTAAAGGTAATTAGGACGAGGGGAGAATTCACCTGTGGCGTAAACTCACTGGACCCGAGGGAACTGCGGTAGGAGTTACGTTTATTTAACTTATTTTGGACTGCCGACGGTCTCACATTTTCTAGGGACATCATTAGGGTGATATACACAAGATATGGGTCTTAAAAGACTTTACAAGCTCGGTTTACAAGCTCTATAAAATTACAAGTTTCTACCCCCCGCCACAAAGGGAGGTCTGTAACTTGCTTTATTTTGTGTTTAATGGGTATAAAGGGTAGTGCTGGTAACAGAGAGACAGTGTTTTAAGGAACAGCCTCTGGCCTGAGAGGAGAATCGCCAGTAAGAAGTGGCAAGGCTAGTCAGTGGGAGGGCCAGATCTGTGCCATTGTAACTAGGAAGGATATCCTGTCAGCAGAGAATCACATAGTGCTAAATCAGGTGGAAACAGTGGCACAGAGCTGGGGAACCCTTGGCTCTGGGGGGGGGGAAGGCTTAATCAGGCCCTCAAGGCCTCTCTATCAGGCCCTCAGAAGTCTTCTCAGGTGTCAGGGACCATGCTGAGGAGGGGTGCACTGAGGAAGAATGGTGGGTGCCATTCCCTCCAACCTGATCCTGATCCTGAATATTCCCAGGAGCAGGAGGACAGTACAGTGGTACCTCGGGTTACATACGCTTCAGGTTACAGACTCCGCTAACCCAGAAATAGTACTTCAGGTTAAGAACTTTGCTTCAGGATGAGAACAGAAATTGTGCTCCGGTGGCACGGCGGCAGCAGGAGGCCCCATTAACTAAAGTGGTGCTTCAGGTTAAGAACAGTTTCAGGTTAAGAACAGACGTCTAGAACGAATTAAGTACTTAACCCAAGGGACCACCGTATAGATTTGGAACAGTGGTTTGCAGAGGGGCCTAGTTCAGAAGGCAGAAGCTGGGAAACACTGGATGGGGAACAGCTAGCAGAAGAAACACCAGAAGAGAACGAGTTAACAGATTCATGGTCTCTGGATAGTATCTACACACCCCTTCCCCAAAGTCCCGGAGAGCTCTGAAAGTGGCAGAACAGAAAACACAGCGGCTCCAAGCTCAGATTACAAGACGTAGGAGTGATGTAGGTTAATAGGGACCGAGGAGGGGAGTGAACTTAATTGGGAGCACCACCATTTCTAGGTGATGTGTTCTTTGCTCTCTCGCTGTGATTATTAAAGTTTCTAACTGGTAAGAAGACTTCTTTTCCTTTGTTCTGCTTATCTACTGCCACGGGGGGCGGGGAGCCGATTCCCTGAAGCCTGACATCAAATGACACCCTCACTGGCCTTGCTTCCAGTAGTGCAGTGGCAGAAGGGCAGGGTTCCTTCATGACAGCCACAGCCCTTCTAAAATGACACAACCTTCTAGGACAGGGATAGGCAACCTAAGGCCCATGGGCCACAAGCGGCCCACGGGGTTCATTTAACCGGCCCATGAGCTGCCCACGAACCAAGCCACCCGCTCGGCGAGTCCCCACGTGCTGCACTAAACTGGTGCAGTGTGGCACGGGGACTCGCTTCTGCGGTGCTGGAAATCGTGTCTGTGCAGACGCAGATGCTGGAAATCGCATGCATGCACATGAGCGTGCGCACAATCCAGCCCACGGAGGGATCTCCACTGGAGTGAACCGGCCCAGGCGAGGTAAACCTTGCCAACCGCTGTTCTAAAAATAGTTAGAATAGTTTTATAATTATAAAAAAGGTAAAGAGACCCCAGACCATTAGGTCCAGTCGCGGACAACTCTGGGGTTGCGGCGCTCATCTCGCTTTATCCGAGTCATTTGGCCAGCATGACTAAGCTGCTTCTGGCAAACCAGAGCAGTGCATGGAAACGCTGTTTACCTTCCCGCTGGAGCGGTACCTATTTATCTACTTGCACTTTGACGTGCTTTCAAACTGCTAGGTTGGCAGGAGCAGGGACCAAGCAATGGGAGCTCACCCCGTTGCGGGGATTCGAACCGCCAACCTTTTGATCGGCAAGCCCTAGGCTCTGTGGTTTTACCCACAGCTCCACCCGCCCCATTTTATAATTATACAATAATGCAAATAATCAGGGATGCAGATATCCATGCTTTGCCTTTCATCTAGACCTACCATTTTCTGTAAACGTACACGGGCAAATGATTTGGAGGGTTCCAACGTCTTCTTTCGGAGTGACTTGTGTTTTCCTTGAAGTTCCATTGTACAGAACGGAACTTGCACGCCATTCTCTTGAAGCTGAAGCCCGCTGTCTTTTCAGGTTTCCTAAATGCTTAAGTTCGGAGCGTACAGAACAACAACTCCCCCGTGTCCCTCCCAAAACCTTCTCCAGAGTGACCCTAGGAGCCAATCCTCCGTGACTGACCCGCCTCCTTTCACTCTGGTTGGCTCCAATCAGCACAAAGGGTGAGAGGACACCTCAGTGGCTAAGAAACTCCCTTTCATGCTGATTGGATGTCTCTGCAGAAAGGGACTCTGCTGGGACCCTGCTGCAGAAACAGCAATAGGTGTTTGACACACACTACAACCCTGGATCACTGCACCACTGCTTCCATCAAAACCTCCTTGAATGTTTTTGCTTAGCTGGAATGTGACCTTGAACTCTGACAATGACCACTCCCCGCTTAAAACGGGGGGCGCCCTTTGCGTGGACGCGCGCAGCCCCTGGATCTGGAGCGGCTCCATCAGCATAGGCTTGGCTTTGCCTTCCCTCAGGTGGGATACCTGGAGGTCTCCGCCTACCTCAGTCAGTTGTCCAATCCCGCCTGGGGGAAGCGTTGCCAAGGAGACCAGGCCAGGTAGGGGAGGGATTACCTGCCCACACAATAGAGGGAGGATCTTACCTGGGAATCCTCACTTGGCTCCAGAACCTCTTGCTTGTCCAAATGGACGCTAGAGGGGTGCATGCACACAGAAACTAGTCTACTGTTTAAAAGTTTAAAAATACATTTGTTGCTCCACCCACTTGTCCCCCACAGGACTGCAGACATTTCTCCCAGCTGGCCTTCAGCCAGCCTGCCCAAGATGGATCCCTGTCTTTCTTCCTCCTCCTCCTTCCCAGAACACCTTGCTAAAAACTTTCTTTTTCTGTCACTTCAAACACACACCCCATCACCATCTGTCTCTCCCTGCCCTGCCCCGCCGGCCAAAGGAATCCTCTCAGATCAACTCCTTTTGTCATGTTAACAGATTTGCTCTTAACTAAGCCAGCCCTGGGATTCCTTCTCCAGCACAGCTCTGCAGCTGGTACTTTCATCCATATCCCGATTAATCAAAATGATACAATTTATTAATTTCTAGGGTATAACAATACGTTCCCGCACAGAGAAAAACAGTAAGTTCAACAGGACTCCACAGTAGTCTGAACCTTCATATGCTTCAGCTGCTGATATGTTTAGAACTTCAGATATTGTAAGGCAATTGGTTTTTCCTAGGATATCTTTCAAACTTTGGAGTAACGGGAGGGGTGTCTGTTACTAAATCAATGTGTTTTTTTTGGGAGAGTGTTAACCAGGAAGCAGGCTAGAAGCAGACCAGACACCCCCCCCCCAAAAAAAGGAACAGTGTGCAGATTCAGGTTTTGGGGTGGGGTTATGACTTGTTCCCTCTGGGATTCATAAATCCTCTCCGCAACTCTAATAATTTCAGCAGTGTGTACGCACCGCAACAGCAAATTAGACACCTCGCTCAGTTTAATATATCATAACATTCCTCTTTGGGAATGGAAAATAACATATATCCTGGGTCTGTTTGCCAACCGTCAACGCTATCAGTGAGGTGTGCGTTTTTTAAGAAAGAGAGAGAACGAGAATATAAGAGTCCTCCCAGACTCATTGAAATTTATCCAGCAAAAGTTGGGAGGAAAGGAAAGGGGGAGGGAAACCTAGACACCGCAGATATTCTACACCAATCAATCAAGTCATGGAAAAGATTTGATGGACATGTCAAAGGGGCATTACCCAGCAAAGCTCCAGATGGACTGAGGCGTGTGGAGCGGCAGAGAGGAAGGAGTGATAGCCAGGGCGGCAAAAGGTCCAGAGTGCTCGAAGGAAAAATCGTTGCGAAGAAACACTGTCACTTTTAAAAAACCCATCGTTTGTTTTGGTTCTCCTTTATGCCAGACCACACAAGGACATTTTGCCCATTTCTGCAGCACTTTGGGTTTTCAGAAAGCCCCCTTGCCAAAAGTAAATTATGTTTCTTTTGCTATAAATAGCTGGATTCAGACACACACACACACAAAGTGCGACACTTTTAATGGTGCTATGCAAAAGAAAACTCAGAAGGAGATCTGTATACAGTGGAACAATGAAGCCATTTGCACATGCAATCCTTATTTGCTTTCTTCCATATTCCTCCCCAAAATATTTTATGATTTTCACTTACTTATTGCTTCCACTTATTTATACAAGGAACAACAATTATACAAGGAGAAATAATTAACGTTCAGCAATCTGACCCACCCCCAGCAGAAGTGCCAAATGTCTATTGGATTATATTAACCTTTTAAGTCATTCTGGGTTTTAAACAAAGATTTTGCTCCCCCAGTTGCCATGTGTCTTCGGGGGCCTTTAAGCATGCCCTGTCGATGTTGCATATGGAATAAAAGTATGCCAGGTTGATGCAATTTCCCACGAAGGGGAAATCGTACATAACGATATTAGGGATGGAGAGATCTGTCCATTTTGCTTTCTCTCCGTTTCTAGTTTTTCAAGTCATCTGCACTCAGTTCCTGCTTGCCAGCTGTCCGTTAGGCATGGAAGGGAACTCTCTCCTTTTGCAAACAGGTGAACACTTTCTTGTTCCAGCAGGCTTTTGGGAACTGACTGCTTTTAATGAAATGGCTAGTGCCATGCTGCTTTTTATTGTAATTGTTTGTATGCTTCTAACAGATTTATAAAGTTTTAATTCCTATCAATGTTTAACTGTTTTTTAATTATTTCCGTTCTATATTTTAGCAGTTCTTGTTTTTATCTGTAAGCTGCCTTGAGACCCATCAAAGGAAAATCCAGGGGATAAATACATTATTATTATTATTATTATTATTATTATTATTACTGTAGTAGTTGTTTATTTAATTAAATCATCCTGAAAAAGCACCAGTATTTTAGTGGTGATGTCTCCTAATAAACACAGTTTTGTATGCAGTTTTGACCGATGCGCAATTTTTTGCAAGCAATCTCCCCAAATACAGTAATGCATTTTTGTAAGTTTTCCCTAACATAGCCATTCAATGCCCGCTTTCCTCTAATATATGCATTTTTGTAAACATGGTTTGATTGGAGAACTGCGTCGGAAAATGTAAATATGCGTGAATTTGGAAGGATGGCTGCATTTTGGAGCTCATGTTGTTTCGAAAACGGCGAATTCCAAACAGATTAGCCTTCAAGTTTAAATCAAATTTCTCCACCTTCTCTACTTTCTGTCGACATCTTGGTTGACCACCGTGAGAACAGGATGTGGGACAAAACAGACTTTGGGGATGATGCAGCCATGTACTTTTTCTATGTTCATGTTTTAACATTCTGGGCATTTTAGCGGAGACACGTTCTCTGTGTTCCTGGCTGCCCCGTCCTCAAGCTGGAGGACACAGTACAGAGGGCTTTCTTAAGCATGGGTTGCTCTCAAAGCAAGTCTCATGCCTCCTGAAGCCAAGCATGATTAATGAGACAAAATTCATTCTCAACCCTCCGAAGGCTTGTGTTTCATTAGTGCCAACCAGTCTTGATTTGTGTGGCCAAATGGACATTCTCTGGAGTGGCAGCCCATGTCCCGTGACAAGGGGGCTGGGGGGCATCTCTGCTAAGAGACTGCCTGCTGGCTATTGGCTTCCCCGCCCAGCTCTCCAAATCCCTTACCAATGTGCCAACGTATCTGCAACATTTTTAAGATGCTCCAGAGGGCAGACGTTGATAAATGATGCTCCTGCTCAACCCCCCTGCTAATTTTGGATTTGCAGTGTTTACAAACAGCTGTTATAACATCCCGAAGGTCTACAGGGGAAGGGGGTGGGTGGAAAAAAAGAATATTCTCCGTTAAAGAAAAAGAGAGTTCTTACCTGGAAGGAGTCCAGGAATGTCACAAAGCACAGCCAGTGATCTCCTCTCCCTTCCTGCCTGCTCCAGACTGCTCCTTGCTCTGGTGCACTTTAATGGGGGATGTTAAGAATGTATTGTTTATAGCAGCTGCCGCGATCGCAGAAGGACTTCCCATCGCATCTTCCTTATGAATGCCAGCATCAGGTGGGCATCCGTTCCTAGACGCCACGGCTGTGATGGTAGCAACGGCCCTTTATCAGCCGGATGCTATTTTGATATGTCCCCTAAGGCTGTCGGAGAGCGCCGGGTTTTTCCACCTACTGTTGAATTTTTAGACCCGGGTTCTTATCTGTGTCACCCTAAATAGCACCAGTGTAAACGAATGCCACGGTGCCATCTGAGCATGGAAACTGTAGCTGCAATGAGCTGCGTACAGCATGCACATAATAATACTCCGGCAAACTGCACGAAGGCATTTTGAGTTGACCTCTGGGGCTTTGTCGGAATTATCCAGCAGGATGCAGGCAACCTCTACAATCTGCTTCAAGATGCCAACGTTTATTAATTAGATTTATTTCTTCCCCAAGAGGCTGAAGGTGGCGAATGCAATTCCTCACCCCACCCCTTTGCATCTAGCACTATCTATGCTCATCTGCAGGAGCTCTCCAGAATTTCAGATTTATCACCCTAAGTAGAGATGCTGGGGATCAGACCTTCTGCACGCAAAACAGTTGCTCCATCACTGAGCCATGGTCCTTCCCAAGCCCTTGGCCACCTTGCAAGGTTAAGTAAGGTAAATAAAGGGGTGGCCTGCCCTCCCAAAACATTCAGATTTCCCCCCCACACTATGATTTTTTAAAAAATCTTCCTTTTGTCCATAACCACCCAATGAATCATTGGGGGCTTTTATTTTATTTTTAATGCCTGCCGTAGCTCTAATCTCTTCCAGCGTTGGATAGAAAAAGAAAGCTTAAAGAGGTCTTTAATTAACACGAGAAGGACGGGTGCGTATCGCTCTGGCCCAGCTGCTAGATAGGACTTCTGAGTGGTGGGGAGGATCTGTACATACTGTTCCTGTTTCAGCTCGAGTTATGCAGACAGGAGCCTGCTAGTGCTTCTGAATCTACGCACAGATGCCTTCTGCTAGTTTGGAACAGTGCGCAGAGTGCCTTTCCCTTCCATCTGGGGAGAAGCAGTAGGAAAGGCACCGCCTTGCGCCAGATCTGAGATGTTTTATTTTTCATTTCTTAATGAAATTTGAGACAGTTATGCACAGCACAAGGAAACTCAAAGCAGGCGAAGCTTGCGTTGCTATCAAAGCAGTGACCAGAAATGTCTGGAAGTTACATCTGACCACAAGGGTCTTTGCGAAATCGGAGGAAGCAATTCACCACCTTGATCATTAATATCAGCAGTGGAAGGGGCAACTAGGTAATGGAGAAAGGTTTCCACCTTTTAGCTTCTCTGTCATTATTAAAGGCACTCTTGCCCATGAAATATACTCAGAGTCGAGAGTGGATTTCATGCCCTTTATTCAGCTCATAGTGGTGAGGAGGAATGAAAGTTCCCCCAAAGTATCTGCTTTATATACATTATTTACACAATGGGCTGCATGTGATTGGCTAATTCCAGAATTCTCCTGTAGGCCAATCAGGTTGTGGATTCACTTCCATCTGGAGCTGGATTGGGTGGCTCCTGCGGACCAATCATACTGCTGCATTGTTCTAGGACCAATCAGACTGCTGCATTCTGAATCCTGTTGTTCTAGGACCAATCAGACAGCTACATTTTGGATCCTATTGTTCTAGGACCAATCAGACTACTGCATTTTGGATCCTATTCAACTCAGTACATAACAGCCCACCTGGAAATTCAAGCCGTCTTCCTGCCACCTGGAGGGAGCCAGGCAGACCTGGACACTTCAGGTAAGACCTGGAGGCCTGGCATCCCTAGATAGGACAGCTTGGGTTGGGAACCCAAGGCCTGGGGCCAAATATAGCCCACCATTCCTCTCTTTCTGGCCCTCGGGACTCTCCTCAGGCCACATATCCCAGTGACCCAGCTTCACACCTTCCTTGCGTGTTTTTGCCTGGCTGAGATTTGTCCTTGGACTCTGATCATGCTTGTTGCTTGCCCAGATGGAGAATAGTGAGATGAGTGTGCAGTCTATTATGCAGAGGTGAAACGCACCATTGTTGCTCCGTCCATTTTCGCCTCTGGCCCTGCCTACCACTGACAGGTTGTCCCGGAAAGTAGAAGAAGACACTGAGATCTTCGAGCTGGAAATTTTTTCCTCACCCCTGAAATAAACAATGCCTTTCAGAGGACATTCCCCCGAAAGCCCTTCAGATAGAAGTTTGTGGTCCGAAAAGCAGGGTATATACGACCATTCCAGAATCATAAAATTGTCACGTTGGGAGGGACCCCGAAGATCATCTAGTCCAACCCCCTGCAATGCAGGCATCTTTGGCGCAATGTGGGGCTCGAACCCACAATCCTGAGATTAAGAGTCCAGTGCTCTATCAACTGAGCCAGTCCAGTGCGTTTTGAATTTTGAAAATTGAATTTTGGCACCTTTTAGAAATTAAACACAATCTAACAGTGCTTTTTTTCTGGGGGTACTCAGAATGTTAAATGTTAAAAGGTGGCACTAACTGTAACAACTTCTGCACAAGTAGTTGCCCATTTTATTCTATTTTTTAAAAAAGGACTGCTATCTAGATGCAGTAAGGGAAGAAAGCTAATGGCCACCAGTACATTTTTAGGTAGGTTTGCACAGTTGCCTCCAAAAAAAAGAGGAGTGAATGAACAAGAGAAAGAGAAAGAGAGAGGTGCAGATACAGACAAACTGATCTTTGTTAAGAAACCTTTGACGCTTTCAAAGGAGTGTGTGTGTGTAGAAAGTGTTTATTGCATTTCATTAGGAGAGACGTAAGTTTTGCTTTTTTTCTTCCACGGTGGAGACTTGAGAGGCCACTTCAGTTAATCGAGGATACAGAACGGAGCCAAATCAGATGTTTTTCCTATCAAGGCCCTTTAAAAAACAAAAAATTAAGATGGCTGTTTAGAGTCTCCAATGGACCAAGGTTCATTAAGGCTGTTAACATCCCAGAGCCGCTGTCTTCTGACCCTCCTCTCAGTTTGGGTGGCCCGAACGAGACTCTCCCCAAGGGTTCATTACAGGTGGTAGGCAGACAGGCCTGGAGCCTAGGCCATACCACAGAGCCCTGAGAGAAATGTGTTTCCCTGACCAAAAAAGCACAATCTTATATTCTTAAAAACATTCCAGCCCTGTCTGGGTGTTCCTCTGCATGCATTCCTGTACGTGGGATTATTATTGTAGAGAATTTATAAAGTCATTCATTTCTCTGGAAGTGTACGGCGCGGGCTCTGCTTGAATGGTCAGGCCTAGCGCGAAAACCCCGAGCCATGTGGGCCTATAAAAACACAACAGTAAATAAATCAGCAGGGAGAATTTACACTTTGTCCTTCTGATTGTTTTTACACTCCATGGCTCAGAAGCAGAGCCCAGAGTGTAAAATAAATAACCTTGTGGCAATGCTCCACTAGCCTGTTAGTAGCAGGGCAAGACCCAGATATATTTACAAGCTGTGCTCTCCAGGCAAAAGCCAGGCGAGGCTACAGAGGCAGCACAGGAGGGCGATGTATTCGGTGGTTCATTATTTTGTCATACATCAGAGTTTTATTACATGGCTGTCATGGCCAATGCTTTCAGGCCAGAGCGACAGAAGAGTTATACATTTCTGGAGCAGGAAATTCAGGCGCTGCCATCTTTTCTTCACCTCCCTCCTTCCACAGCTTTGCTCTCCTGCCCTGAACTCTGGCATGGCGGTGTTCAGTATAGCCATTTCAAGACTGCCATATTTGAAGTCCCTAAAATATCAGATCAGGAATTTCAAGAGGGCTGCCCGTGTTTTGTGGAACAGCCCTTACTTGTTTCCGGAAACAATTAAAGGCATTTCTTCTTTTGGCAAGCTTTCCGACGGGATGAAAGCATCCCGATTGTTTATCCCATATTCCTTTTAGATCTATCTTTAGTTGGGTTTTGTACTTCTTTTAAAACTATTTTTAGATGGTTTCATGGCATGCTTGCAAAATTGCCTTGAGACTCAGCACGTAAGGCAAACCATAAATCGATAAAACAACAATAGCGCTGTTACAGAGTTTAGTGCTAAGAATGCCGCATCACCAAAGTGGGTGTTTGTGTAGGACAGGAGAGCATAAGGCCTGGGTGGAATGTACACACAAATTTTAAAAAAACGCTGTGAAAATGCTTTTAAAAAAACAAACATAAACGTTTTGAAAAATACATTGAATTTGGCATAGCTCACTGTCGCCATCTAGTGTCACATTTGTATATTGCACTTTGCAACATATTTTCAAGCTGAGTCCCTGGACTCTGTATCCAGACCTCAGAAACACCCCTCTTTGGGTCACAGCCCTCACTAACCCTCCTTCACCCCCTTCTGAAGTGCTATCTGGATAGAGTTATGTGCATGTAGAGAGCTCTCACTTTACATGGCTCTAATGTGTTTATTTCTTGCATTTATATCTCACCTTCTCCAAGGAGCCCAAGACGGCATACATGTTTTTCCCACTCCACAATGACCCTATGAAGTAGGTTAAGCCAAGAGCGAGTGAATTGCCCAAGGTCTCCTAGTGAGTTTCATGGCCAAGTGGCAATTTTAACCTTGGTCTCCCAGGTCCAACGCTCTAGACAAGATACTACACACCTAGCATTAAACAGCGAAAGCCACAACTATTACTCTGCCCCCCAATTCATGGGGCTGTGAATGTGGAAGGGGCATTTTTTGCTCAGTGCTGTTTCCTGGCAACCTCAGAGTTGGCATACTTGTCAGAGTATGCCATTTTAAAGCTTGCACAACCCACAACCCACTTCATTTGGTCTAGCAAATTCTTCTTGAGAGACCCATGATCCACTGCTTGGCAGGATGTACAAACATCTTGTACATGGTGCCACCTGACAAATAATCTTTCGGTGGCACAAGAAAGGATTCTGTTGAATATTCTGGAAACAAGTCCCTTCTGGCAGCTTGATTTCTATTTGAGCTGCTAAGAAGTTCTTCTTGAAGAGGAGGTGAGGGGAAAACAGCGCACACAGTGGTACCTCCAGAGGAAAGTCTTTCTTGCATTCTGAAGAACTAATGAAGACAAAGTCATGTTATAGGCAGATGTCTCTCATCGGCTTCACTCAGAAGCGAGAGGAAATTCTGATGTTCTCCATCATCACGGCACCAGGTCTTTGGGTAGCAACATGTTTATTTAACAAGCTCCCTTCCTAGACTAGACCTTGCCCTCCGCTAGAAGCTCTCTTTAAATAAAAAAAAAAGCCTTCTTTGAAGCTTTGATGTTAATTTAGAGTCAGAATTGGTTCAGAACAAGGGGAATGAATGGGCGTCTCCACACAACAGCTTATTGTGGACTTATTGTGTCCATTCTTAAATATTTTGCACACTATCCATGCGACATCATCATCATCAAAATGGCTGCCAGTTAGTTACCAATCTGGGTTCAAAGTACTGGTATTGGAGTACAAAGCCCTATGCAACTTGGGCTCTGGGTACTTTAAAGATTATTTCACACCATATAAACCCAACCAATCACTACATTCTACAAGATGCAAGAATTTAAGAGGAGCCCTGCTGGATCAGGCCCATCTAGCCCAAAATCCTGTTCTCACAGTAGCCAACCAAATGCCTGTGGGAAACTCACAAGCAGGATTCAAGCGCAAGAGCCCTTTCGCCTCCTCTAGTTTCCAGCAACTGGTATTCAGAAGAATTGCTGCCTTCAATCATGGAGGCAGAACATCGCCATCAATGGCCCTGTCCTCCATGCATTTGTCTAACCCTCTTTAAAAGCTAAGTAGGCTGGTGGCTGTCACTGCCTCCGGTGGGAGTGAGTTCCATAGTTTAACTATGTGCTGTATGTAGTTTCGTTTATCCGTCCTGAATCTTCCAAAATTCAACTTCATTGGATATCCATGAGTTCCAGTTTTATGAGAGAGAGGGGGGGGGGAGGGAGGGAGAGAGGGAGGGAGGGAGGTATTATGTACTGAAGTTCTCACCCTGGGCCAGCAGGTGGATACTGTAGATAGTTATGCAAATGAAGGATCGAAAAGTGACGTTCAGTGATTGGATAGTTTTAGAACGTTGCAACAGTTACAATTGTTCTGTAGCTCTATATAAGCAGGCTGACTGAGCTCCTCAGTTAGTTCTGTTACAGCTTACAAAATAAAGAGCTGCTTTGGAGAAATCGCTGTGTCGTCTGCTATGTCAACCCACAACTTAACAGGAGGGAAGGAAGGAAGAAGAAGAGGAGGAGGAGGAGGAGGAGTTTGGATTTGATATCCCACTTTATCACTACCCAAAGGAGTCTCAAAGTGGCTAACATTCTCCTTTCCCTTCCTCCCCCACAACAAACACTCTGTGAGGTGAGTGGGGCTGAGAGACTTCAGAGAAGTGTGACTAGCCCAAGGTCACCCAGCAGCTGCATGTGGAGGAGCGGGGAATCGAACCCGGTTCACCAGATTACGAGTCTACAGCTCTTAACCACTACAGTGGTACCTCTGGATGCAAACGGGATCCAATCCGGAGCCCAGTTCGCATCCTGAAGCGAACTCAACCCGCATCTGCGCGTGTGTGGGTCGCGATTCGCCGCTTCTGCGCATGCGTGTGACGTCATTTTGAGCATCTGCGCATGTGCGAGTGACGAAACCCGGAAGTAACGTGTTCCGTTACTTCCGGGTTGCCGTGGAGCGTAACCTGAAAACGCTCAACCTGAAGCATATTTAATCCGAGGTATGACTGTGTACCACAGAGGGAGAGGGAGAGAGAAACTTCGCTCTATCTATTTTCTCCATGCCATGCATAGTTTTATAAACCTTTCTCATGTCACCTCTCACTCAACTTTACTCTAAACTAAGAGGTCCCAGATGCTGCAACCCTTTTTCCAACTCTGCAATATTCTTTTGGAGGTGAGGCAGCCAGAACTGTACACAGTATTCCAAATGTAGTCGCACCATGGATTTGTATCACAGTATAGGGCGTCCATCCTGCAAATGCCATCCTGTCAGGAGGTCCATTGTGCATGATGTCCGAATTGGGCCTTTAGTGCGGTGGCATCTGTACCCTTTGGAAGCAAGTGGCCTTCTCTGTCTTTTTTTTTTTTGCTCCTTTTAAAGACATTCTTCTTTCAACAACCTTCTAAAAACTTTATCCCACTTGATTCTGTTGTTCTATCTTTCAGACTGTTTTTATATTTATAATAGTTTGCTTTTTTATATATTTTTTTTTAAAAAAGCTTTTTAAATTTATGTAACTGTTTTATAGATCTCCTTATTATATCGTAAATCATTTTGGGATATCTCACAGGAAGCAAGTCGTGAAATAAATAAATAAATAAATAATCAAAATACTAGCCCATACTTTTTCTTCATTTAATCCAGCTTTTCCTTACCACAGAAAATCTAATAAGTTGGGGGGGGGGGGGAGAGAACC